GTGTCCTCTAAAGTGCCTGGGATTATGGGAGCTTCTTCCAATAATCTGGAAGGCACCAGGTTGTGGAAAGGGGTTGCGTAGGATTAAAATGTATTTAAAATGCAAAATCCATAGTTTTCTAATGAGAGTGAATCCTGATTGCGTAATCAAAGTCATCCACCCTCCTTGTTGGTGCTTTTTGGGGTGCTGGGAGTGTCTGGTAAGGTTGCCATTTTCAGGGCTGGGTGAAGCAGCCTCCAGATTCTGCTTACCTTGCCTAAAGCAGACTATATGACGGGGCTGGAGCAAGGTCCTCCTTCAGTCTGGGAGCAAAAGCTGAGCTGGCCCCTTAGCCAGGCCTGGGCCCTGAAGCAAACTTCCTTTTGTTCGCCACTGAGCCCTGCTGAGATATCACCTAGCAGATGAGGGAAGAATGCGGCTTTCTTAGGCTGTCTGGGGTCTCCTATTACCAAACATCCTGGCCGTCTCTTCACTTGTTTTCCAAATCTTGGCCACTGATGCTTTGCTTCTTCACTAACTGTCCCCATCCTGCCCTGTTCAAGATTGGGTTTTAAGGGAGAATCCCCGTCTTTGGGACAGGACAAATCCCTGGGGGGGGGGGTGGCAAGGCAGAAGGTGGAGAAGGACGGCTCTCTTTGACGGCCACCTTCTGCACCTCCTGGTCCTACAGCTCACCTTTTGGCTTGTGGCCTTTTCATTGGGGGGGGGGACGGGACAACGAGGTCTCCTAGTCTTGGGGAGGACAGTCCTCCAAGCCTTGGACCCCTGAGAATTGTGGTCCTGGCTGGCTCCCTCATGGCATGACCTGATCTGCAGCCCCAGCCAGCAGTTCGGACTAGAATTTCATTTATCGCCAGATGTTGGGCTTCTCTTTGCAACTCAGTCTTAACAGCTGCTACTGGTTGCAGTTTCACATAGGAAGAAATGTTAGACATAGAAAAAGAAACCATAGTAAAGCAGGGGAATAGCGAGCCAACAGTGCAGTTTGGAGCTTTGCCCTTAGGAGCCACCGTGGTGCTACCATCGCTCGTTCTGGGTTTAGTTCTTCTGAATCACCTTTCTTGGCTTCTCTTCTCCTCCCGGCCTTTCCTGAACTCATAACTTTTCTCAGGCTCTCCGGTGTCTTTTCGGGAGGCCGAGCAGCCCTTCCGAAGAGCTCAGCTTTCTTTCCTTCAGGGAGAAAGGCACTCTCTGCCCACATTTGAGCAGCCTGAATATGCAGGAATGCCAGGCTGGGCCAGAGGAAGGGGGAAGGGAATGAATGCCATCCTTCAGCCGATGGGGGGCATCGCCCTCTGGGTGATTGGCAGGTGGTGCTCCATCCTTGCAGTAACTTTCCAGCCCCTCCTCCTCCTCCTCCTCAGCTGGGAACTCAATGTCTACAATAGAGACTTTGTCTTTGCTCAGTTGCGGTTCTCTTCTTTTCTTCTACTTGTCCGGAGAATCTGGGGCTGCGACAGACGCCTGTCGGGCAGTGCCTGTGCGCACTTTGCAAGCTCAAAGAGAAGGCAAGTTTATTGCAGCATTTGCTAGTAACAGAGCAATTGAGAGAGCTGAATAATTTAGTGCCCCTTCTGTTTCCTTGTCAGCTTGTTGTGACTATGGAAGCCCTCCGAAGTAGATGGCCTTATGAAAGGGCCAGGCAGGTGGAGGTGCCCCGGATTACGGTTTTAATTTTTCCTCTCTGCTATTGTAAGACCCACACGTCTTTTATTTCCAAAGCAGGAACAAGAGGCAGCAAGAGGAGTGTTTTACTTTTCTTCCAGCCCTAAACTCCACTGCTCCAAAGGCCGGGATCCGGTTTGTGTTGTTTTTATGTTGGCTGAGGAATTATGGGAGCTGAAGCCCACAAGTCTTAAAGTTGTCAAGGTTGTAGACCCCTGCTTTAGCCGGTCAGGGCAGCATTTGCACCTGCAACTGTGCTTCTTCTGCTGAACGGCCTGGAAGCAAAGAGGGCCTGGCTCTCTAAGGGCCTTCCTGATCCGAAAGGAAGAGAAGTGAGGATCCTTTGCAACAATCAGGGCAAGAGAGAGAGAGACCAAACCAGGTTAAAATCAGCCATAAGCCCTACGATTGCCCCAATCAAGGCTCAGAACAATTGCAACGGAGGCAGTGAGAGGCTGTACCTGTTGAGCATCCGTCTGGAGCTCCTCAAGGAACAAGAATCTCTTCCCTCTCCAGGCGATGCACTCTGGAAAAGCTGTCAAGGCACTTCTGAAGATCAGCTTATACCAGGCACAATTAAGGGGGGATTGCTCTGAGATGCTTTCTCCCACTGCCGCCTACCTCAGGCTGAGGGGCTTCTCTCACTCCAGTCCTGGGCTTAGGACATCCCTGCCTGCCTCACAACTCTGGGAGACCCAATGGGGTGGCCAGAAACAAAGCTTCCTCTCCCCCATTCCCTCCCAGTGGGGGGCAGAAAGCTGGGGGAATCACCTTCCTTACTCCAGCCTTCTTGCATGGTGGGATGGTTGACAGGGATTGCCTGGTAGAGAGATCTTGATTTTGACTCTGCATGAGGTGATAATGAGGCCTTCAAATGTCACTCTTGCTAGTGGGGAATTTCCTGCGGACCCACCTTGGCAGCTCAGCACCCTCCAGACAGCTGCAAACAATGATTTTGAAAGGTGCAACCAGAAGGTTTTTTTTCCCCAGCTGGGAATCATGAATTGCAAAGCAGAACCGAGGTCCCCAAGGACTCGAGGTTGTAGTAGAAGAAGGAGAAGAAGCAGCATCATTTTTTTTCTTTCTTTCCAATCTTTCTCTCCCCTGGAACCGCAGAAGCTCCCCCCCCCCGTTGATTGCAATAAATTTCACGCTTCAGAGACAAAGACGTGTTTGGATAGTTATATGAGGAAGCAGAATTAAAACATTTATTTATACTCCACGCCGTCTGTCCCAGTGATATTTTTTACTTAATCATCTCGAGACAGATGGTAGGAACACCAGAGTCCATTAAACTAGTGGCGTTCGGTCTTCCTCATTTAGTTTCTCCTTCGCTGTTTCTGGGTTTTCTCATGGTTTTCTTCGCCTCCACTGGCAAGGGAGACCTTAACTCAATTCTGAGAGCAGAGGAAGGTCCTGTAATGCAGCCAGAGCTGTGGATATCTCTAAAACTCAATCAAGCCAGGGATAGCCAAGATTTTATTCCTGCTAGGAGATCTTGCCTCCCTGCTGTTGCCTTCTACAACAGCATCCACCTCGTTGTAGGAGAACAAGGGCCTCTTCAGGTAGGTCAGCATCATTACCAGCCCCTTAAGTTGAGCCAGGACAAGGATGATGGGTCACTGGGGGTGGAAATAATCCAGCATCTTTTGGCTTGGCACATGGTGGTCATAGGAAAGACTATGGAGATCAGGGAGAGGGCAACATAATGGGCAGTGGAGCATGGGCAATGTTCTCTGAATAACTTGCTTTCTGAAGCCTCCCTTGGCTGGGAGTGACCTGTAGGGCAGTGTTTCTGACCCTTGACCACTTTAAGATGGGTAGACTTCAACTCCTTGCTGGCTGGGGGATTTTGGGAGTTGAAGTGCACCCATCTTAAAGTGGCTCGAGTCGAGAAACACTCTTTTAGAGAAGGTGGGACCAAGAGAAACCCTTGCAATTGGCCCCAGTAGCCAATCAGAGGTGCCTGTGCCATGATGTCATAAAGCTCACCCCACCCTCTTTTGCAGCCTTTGCTCTGAGACCCACGGCCACTGACCGCAGGAGGCTTTTGTGAAACACCAGCAGGAATCTGGAATCCCTCCCAGGTCATGTGAACGCTGCTGAAACTGGGAAAGAGAATGGAAGTTGCAGGGAACCTGCCCCCCTCCTCATCTCCAGAGACAAGCGGGGTTTAAAACCATGATGGAGAGCTCCTTTAGTTCCTAGCTCAAAGAGAAATGTCTTCCTATTTTAATATTATCTTTTCTGTTCATTTCTAGGTTGAATTTTCTTCCAGCTCCGTCACAATGAATGGACCTTTGATCAGCTGTGTTCTTGGACATTATTGTGTACCTCAAAACTCCTTGGATGCATCTCGGCTTTGGTGAACTTTCCTTCCGAGGCAGATGGACCTGCCAGTTAAAAGCAGCAGCAGCAGCAGCAGCAACCCCTGATCACCAGGTTGCCCACGATAACTTCATCATTGGCTGCTCTGTGGCAGGAGAAGACCAAGGACTAATCCCAACGGTCAAGAACCCCACGTTTATTTGAAGCAATTTTGCAACTTTCTCATTTTGAATCAATGCATGGAGAGTAGTGTCCGAGCTGGGCTGATCTACTGAGAAAATTGCACTGAGGACCCAATCGTGGCACCAGATTCGTGGCATCAGATCCATGGCCTCTTAGACAGCACACAGAGATTCCTGCTCTCGGCTCAGAAGGGTGTTTTCCAAGTGGGCACCTGTCCCTTGGCTCATTTCTCCACCCGGTCCCCGTAAACATCCGTAATGACGCTGGCATGGCCAAGCTCTTGCTGAAATTCCAAAGATACTTCCGGCGGAAACCCATCCGTTTCTTCACCTTGATTGCGCTCTACCTGACGGCTGGCAGCCTGGTTTTCCTCCATGCTGGCTTCAGCGGGGAGACGAGGGTCCCGGGGGCTGTCCCCCGGCCCAGCAACAATGCTGCAGCAGGGACTGAAGCTCAGTTGCTGGGGACGCTGCCACTTGGCAGGGAATTTCAAGCGATGCCGGAGTCCCTGGCCTTGGCACGGCGGTACGGGACCTGGTTCAAGAGCCCTCCGAAGGACGCGGCTGGGAGGAGCAGAGGTGATTACAGGGAGACGTGGTCTCGAATGCTCAAGGGGAAGAGTGTTCATGAGAAGGAGGAAGATAGAGGTAACGTTGCTTTGGGGAAGAATTTGGTTCAGGAGAATGTTGGGAATAGCATGCAGAGAATGGAAATTGAGATCTTGTTTTTACCCCGGTTCCTCGGAAAGACAGGTTGCCTTCTTTCGAAGGGCTGGTTCAAAACATTGTCTAGTTTGGGGGCAGGCTGTCCTTTAAGGCTTCTTTAGTCTTTTTAGCTGCTACATCACGCGTTTGGCTCATTGGGTTAAACCCTTGTGTTGCTCCAACCCAAATCTTACTCATCCTTTCCTTGTATCTTTTGATTTTTGCACATTGTTTCAATGTTTTTCCATCTATTTCACAAATTTTCATCCTGAGGCGGTTTGTGCCCAGTGGCACAACTCCCCCGAGGTTTTATTTCTCAGTGTTGCTGACTTGCCTCACAAGCTTGGTGTCATTTGTGATTTTAATTAGCACTCCCTTTAAATTGTTACCCATCATGTATCTCAATCCTAGTTGATGAGTTTTCAGGATTCACCTGTTTGCCATCCATTCCAAAATGCTCTGTTTGCTCCAGAAGTTCTCTTAGGGTGCTTGATCTGTTACCCATCCATCGAATAGTTGAGTCTATCTGATCTCTTTACAACAAGGCTCTTTTGCAGCTATATCAGATTTTTGAAATCAAGTTATACTATATTCCTGATGTACCCTTTATCTATCGGCTGTGTGGTTTTACTGGTGGGGGTGGGAAGGTAAACTTTTGGTCCCTAATTCTGGATAATCTGCTGCTGCCCCAAATAAATGAATTGTTTTCTTGCTGTCCATCAAAGGATTGCTTAATCATTTCTTCTGCCTCTCCCGACCTGCCTCTTAAAGATGGGAACAATATTTGGACATTTTAATTGTCTCAATTCCTCATCTATTCCTACCAGAGTCTCCTAAGATTGCAGCCGGCAGGTAGAAGTAATCTGTCTAAATGATTAATCTTTTTCTCTCTTTTTTAATATACTTCAAAGAACATAACTGTATTTCCAGGAAAACAAAAACAAAGCACTTTGTCTGATTTTGTCAAGACAGTTCCCTGTTAGAAATCGGGTGGAGAAGAATAAATCATTGCATTCCTGCACCCCCCCCACACACACTCCATCCAAGAAATGTAGTAAATAAGGAAACATGGAGGCTGAGAGAAAACGTTCCTTCTGCAGAAAAGAGCCAGGAGGTTCTGGGATCCATGAAGCTCTTCAGAAAGGTGGGGATGGGATGGAGCAGCTGGCCCAGACTGGAAGGTCTTCCAGCTTCACCAGCTTCCCTTTCATGTTGCCCATTGGGTGGCATCTGTGCCCTGAGGGCATTTCAGCATCTCTGAGGGCCTCAGTCCCTCTGCCTGACAAGCTGGTGAAGCTGGGAGACCTGGAGGACAGTCATCTCCTAAAATAGAAAGATCTTTCCTCCTTCCCTTCCTCCTTCTCTCCACATTCACATCATAACTGAATTTTTAAAGGTTTAGTTCCTCATTTCATGCATTCAAGACTGCCTGACATCTGGAGAGCCCAAGGGTCCTTGCTCCTTCCTGGCACGGAGGCAGGGAGATGTTTTGGGTCAAGATTGCCGGGAGCAGCCTTCCCCAGCTGTGGCCACTTATTTATTATTTTTATTTATATATTCAACGTATGTGCCAGCCATCTCACTCTGCCAGACAACTCTGGGCAGCTTACCATTAAATATAAAAATAATAAGAAACATTAAGGGCAGAGACAAGTAGCCAAGAGAAGATTGCTATGGCAGTAGCCACGTCCAACACAGAGGACCCCGTCAGGACCCCATGACTGAGCCAGGTTTTAATGCCCTTCTGGAGGGCCAAAGGGATGGGACAGGCTTCCTTTCCAGGGGCAACATCTTCCAGAGAACGGGGGCCACACCAGAAAAGGCTCCCTTCATAGGTCCTTCGTCTTGCATAGCAGATTCCTGATCCAAAGTCCTTTTGTTTTGATCGTTCCCAAAAAGAAGCACCTGAGTTTCGGCTTCCTGGTGGTTTTTAGCCTCACCTAGGTTTTTTCTCCCCAGCAAATAGCGGGGAGGTGGTGGGCCCGTTCTGGAAACCCTTTCAGCCAGTCTCATTAGACTAATTTGATCTGACATTCCAGAATTTCTAGCAGATGGCGAGGGAGGTCCAATTGCCACCGACTGTAGCCTTGCTTGGCAGGCCCAGGAATATGCAAAGCATCCCTGCAATTAACCTCTGGGAGGGCAGCTCTCCGCTCTGGCTGAGCCCAGAAATGACTGGAACAAACTGGGGGTGTCTGTCCTGGACACGATTTGTCCTCCCTCCCTTTGTCAAGGATCCACAGGGGTGCAAGAGCGGGGGGGAGGGGTGCCCATCTCATCCACTACTTCTTTGGCCAGGAGCCCCATCTGGACCAGGGCAGGGGGCTCAGGTGGAGGGGGCTGAGCAGACCAGCCCTTTGAAAACCCCACGGACAGGAGTATGTGTGTGTGTGTGTGTTTGTGTGGAGAGTTGGGGGATTTTCTGCAAGACTGAACTGAAAGGACTTTGCTATCGATTGCCAACCTTTTTTTCCTCCCTTCTAAAGTTTCTACACCCCAAATTTAGTGACAGGATTCGGGGCGTGTGGGTGTCCATGCAATTGACTTTAAGGAAGTCCCAAGGCAAAAGGAAACGACTTCCCAGGACTCTCCCTTCCTCCAAGATGTCACCTGTTGCACTACTGTGGTTTGTTGCACACCCAGCCAGATGTTCAGACTGGATTTGGTGTTTTTATCCGCCTATCGAGTCCTTCCCAGGGACCTGGGAAAAGCAGGTGGGGATGTCTGATGGTGTTCAAGGCCTCGTTGTAGGATGCCAGCTGTTCCCAGTAAAGCTGCCTGCTGCAATTGACTGATGGTGGATTTGTCGATGGCGATGGTGTGTACTATAAAGCCAGAATGTTATTATTTGCCTTATTATTAGAGTTTCCCTTATTAGCACATTGAAAAGCCGAGGAGAGAAATGAGCACAAATCATTGGCCGGCTGTGCCAGGACCCTGCTGGCGGGGGATGATGGGAATGGTAATTCAGCACCTCAGTCCAGTCTGGATGGCTCACTGGACTAACTTCAGCCTTGGTCTCCTTTCAGATTCAAGACTGACTCTGGAAAGAGCAGAGCTGTAGCGTTTGGGGAGTTGAGCCAACTCTTCCCCAGCTGGGTAGGCGACCCATCTTGGCAAGCGGAAGGCTGAAGGTGGACTGGCAGTGCCACCGCTTCCTTCCCCTTGCTGTGCCAGAAACAGGCACGCCCAACAGGTTTCCTTGCACCAAGCCCGGTCTTGTAAATCGAAAGAGCCATCAGTATGCAGGAGCACGTGCTTTGAATTCACATCCAGGCACTGGCAAGGCTGGCTCGTCACTCTGACGGATGGCTCCCTGGACAGGCAGGGCAAGTTTCGGTGGGAGGAGGGAGGCTGTGCGGTGGTTAGAGAATCCTGCTAGGGATGGGATCTGTAATCTGTAGGTTTTACAAGGATTTTTTAAAATGCAGAATCTGAAAAACAGCATGGGGATTCTCCCCAGACCAGGTTATGGCTGAGAACTGTCACTCTGGACAGTTCATTTTGCCAGGTCTTCCCCATGACTCTGAGTTAAGACCTGGAGTGCGTCTCTCTCTCTCTCTCTCTCTCTCTCTCTCTCTCTCTCTCTCTCTCTCTCTCTCTCTCTCTCTCTCTCTCTCTCTCTCTCCCTCCCTCCCTCCCTCCCTCCCTCCCTCTCTCCCTCTCTCTCTCTCCTGAAGCAGCCTCTTCCTTCCAAATGCTAACATGTCTTCTCCTTTCACCAGCAAAATACATCGGCTGCTATGTTGACAACACCCACCAAAGAGCCCTCCGCGGAGTGTCCTTCTTCGACTACAAAAAAATGACATTGTTCCGTTGCCAGGACAACTGCGCCGAACGGTAGGGTGGCAAACGACACTAGGACTTCATTAAGTTCAGGCATTGAGGGGCATTTCCCTCTTTTGGGGGTGGGCAGTTCCAGGTTCTCCCTGGGACTATTTGCCTTCCTCTCTCACAGCCCCCCCCTCAGCCACGAGGGCAGCTGGTCCAGGTCTTGTGCAGGGCCTAAGGCTGGACTCCTGTGGGAAGGATCGGCAGACATTTTAGGACCAGGGAAAGCAGACGTTGATCAGTCCCATTTTATAAATTGGAAGGAAGGTCTCTTGGGTTACATTGCATTGATTAGTTGGGGAGGGGGAAAGCGAGGGGCACGATGTCAAATGGTTGGAGCCAAATCATGCTGAATTGGAGTTATCTGGGAGACTTTTTTGTAATTAGAAGGGTTGGGAGCAATTCAGAGAGGGAGGGAGGGAAAAGAGATGCTGAGCTGTACAGACCAAGAAGAACATTCCACTGAACCTCCTTCCCTAAAGAACATCAATTAATTTCCTTCTCCTCCAATTTCTTGACCCACAAACACTTTGCGATTCTGCTCCGAGGCAGGACTTCCTCCTGTGACTGCTGTCTGCTGGAGATTTTCCCCTTGGTTCTTGCTTCAGTGGCAAAAGACACATATCCATCCCCACCCGACAAATCATCACACAATTCAGCCAGAGGTGAAGTAGTATGGCTGCCTACAATCCGTAGAGTGATGGTAACCTTTCCTCTTGGGAAATATCTGTTTTCCTACCTGCCTGGAGTAAATCTTGTGAGCAGGAGTAACATTTGGCAAAGACACTGAATCGCATTTCCCTCCCTGGCCCACTTGATAGGAAGGGTAGAGATCCACTTTGACTCTTTCTGCTTGTTGAATTGATTCCTCGTAAAGCTAATGGTTGGGGTGGCAAACGAAGAAATAAAGCTGAAAGGCGATGGGACTGATGCCCAGAAATCCATCCTGATCTTGTCCCTTGTTCCTGCCCTGTAAATCTCCATCAACTGGCTCAGAATTCCTCAAGGTAAGCCCAAGTGTGGCCTTGATTCAGCTAAGCCAGTTTGTGCATGATGATGACACGGTCAGCGTCCATCGTTCAGGGCTTCAGCCGCTGTGCACAGTCACTGCCCAGGGAGGGACATCTGGTCTCTCCCACATTCAGGGTGCCTTTGTTTTGGGCAGGGGCTACCTGTACGCAGGGCTGGAGTTTGGGGCAGAGTGCTACTGTGGGCACAAGATCCTGGCCGTGAACGTGAGCGACACCGAGTGCAACATGGAGTGCAAAGGAGAGAAGAGCAGCTTTTGTGGGGGAGCAAACCGGCTGTCCATCTACCGCTTGGAGCTGGCACAGGAGTCCACCAGGAGGTGTGAGTGTGGCTTCCATTTTTGAGGGCGTTGCCACAATGTTGTTCTTTTGGTTAACTGGAGGAAGGGTCTCATGCCCAGAGCATCCTTAGCGGGTCTGCAAAGGCTTTTGGATCCTAGCGAAGGAACCTCCCTCTGCTTCTCTCCCCAGATGGCAGTGCCATCTTCCGCGGCTGTTTCCGTCGCCCAGAGAACCTCTCCTTGGCTCTGTTGACAAGCAGGACCATGAGGAACATGTCTGTGGACCGATGCGTTGACCTCTGCACAGGAAAGGTGAGCCAAAGAGGCTGCTTTGTGCCCCAAAGCCTGGCACGAGGACGTAGCTGTTCTCCAAAGCCCCACATCTGGACCGCTAGCTCCATCTCCCTCAACTCTTCCTGGGTACCCATGCAGGCTCCACGGAGGCATTCTTTGGCCTCCAGCTGCCACTACTTGACTCCTGGGTGGGACAGCCTCTCGTCTCTAGGGGCTGTCAGGGGGTCCGGCAGAAAAGAGGGGCTGGAATGTGGTGGGAGCCATGCTGGGCCCTGAAGGGCAGAATCGGGAGAGCTGGGCACCCTTTCTCCCTTCCCAGGGTTTCCATGAGAGTGCCAGCCCTCTGCCTCAGCCCTCCCCATTTGGCAAGCAGGAGCTGACATTCATCCATCTTTGCTTGCAAAGCATTTGCCCCACGCCTAGCAGTGAATTCTCCCTCCCTTCTAGGAATACCCTCTGGCAGCTCTGGCTGGCACCTTCTGCCACTGCGGTTTCCCCACCACTCTTTTCTCCTTGCATGAACGAGAAGGCGAGCATCTTTGCGCCCAGAGATGCAGCGGGGAGGAGTTCGAAAGCTGCGGCACTTCAGACTATTTCATTGTATATCAGACCCAAGTGCAAGGTATCAGGGGCGGGGGAGGTGCCGGGGGGGAGGGTCCGGGGGCCGTGGGTCTTCAGAAGACCCCGACAGTCTCCTGTTCCATCACCAAGGGGGTCTGGTGGACACTGGGTCCAGCACCTCCTGAGTTCACCTTAATACCCACTTCTCTGGTTATTAATTTGTAAAATCATAGCATAGTCCCTGCTCTGGGGTAGGAGTTACAGACCCTCTTGCCCAGTGTTTCTCAACCTTGGCCACTTCCAGACGGGGGGCTTCCAGAACTGCAGCACGAGGAAGGAGAACGCTGTTCTTTCCCTCGTCTGAGGGTGCAAAGAAGAGAGGCGTCCTCCTTCCTTGAGGGCTGGAGAAGGCTTCAGACGTAAACCTTAGAATGTGCTAAACTCCCAGCTGAGGCTCAGCTCCCATGTAAAAACTATACGAAATAAAGACCTACATTTCTTAAGCCAAGCGTCTGTTCTGGAAGCTCAAGGAGACAGCTTCAAAACCTTCTACTCTGGAGTTCTGCCAGTTAGTCTTGGGGCAGGGGTCTTTAAACTTGGCCCTTTTATGACTTGTGGACTTCAACTCCCAGAATTCCTCAGCCAGGACCTGGCTGAGGAATTCTGGGAGTTGAAGTCCACAAGTCATAAAAGGGCCAAGTTGGAAGACCCCTGGTCTGGGGCAACCGAGAGTCCTCAAAGGCCACCAGAATGAGCAGTCTGGGATGGGCAAGGAAAGCCCTTCTCCTTTCACCGTGCCCTCAAGGATGCCTTCAGAGGGGGGAGTTGTACAGAAACATCTCCTTTGTGAGCTCAGGAACCCTCTTTCCTTCTCCGTTTCACAGACAACCGATGTATGGATCGGAGGTTTCTCACCACGCGAGCCAAACAGTTGGTCGCCCTCGCCAGCTTTCCTGGAGCTGGCAACACCTGGGCACGCCACCTCATTGAACTGGCCACGGGCTTCTATACTGGGAGTTATTATTTCGATGGCTCTCTTTATAATAAAGGTGATGGCATGGCTTTCTTGGGAGTTGAAATGACTTGGGGGGGAGAATCAGAGAGGGGGTTGGACTTATCCTGAGCCGTTGAGGGGCCCTCAGCTGAAAACCTCATTCAGCTAGGACAGGTAGGCAACCTTGGCTCTTTTATGACTCATGGACTTCAACTCTCAAAATTCCCCAGCTAGCCAGAGCTTTGACCCCACCATTTATTTCAAACTCTGCCCAGCCCAGACAATTTGGGACTTTGCCTCTTCCAGCCATCACTTTATCATCTTCCTTCCTTTCTTTCTCTCTCTCTCCCTCCCTCCGTTCCTTTTGAATTATCAAGCCAGCTTCAGATCCTTTTTTGGAATTTGCAGTTGCCTGGAGACCAAACCATGAAAGTTCTAGCTCATTACAGTTTAAAAGATCCGTGGGAGAAAAAAGACAAATTGATTAACAAGCAGCCCCTTTTTTTAGAGAAAGCCCTGGTGCATGTTCAAGGGTAGCTTGGCATCCCACGGAAAAGTCCATTACAGCCATCAGCCTCCGATCATCTCAGCAGGGAAAGGAAGGTCTGTGCTGGGACTTAACCAATCCCACCAGGGAAAAAACGATGCGCGATTCACGACTCTCGTGTCTGTAAAGCATCCGTTGCAGCTGACTCGTGAGAAGGGAACCTGAAGCCAAGCCTGCGCAAGAACTTGAAAAGTACCACAGGATAGATTGGAAGGGACCTTGGAGATCTTCTGCTCCAATTCCCTGGTCAAACAGGAGACCCTGGACCATTTCAGACAAGCGATTGTCCCATCTCTTCAGTGATGCAGCACCCACAACTTCTGAAAATTTCTAAAAATAATATTAGGGCCTTTTTGGACCTAATTTAACCTCCTGTTATCCTCAGAGGACAGCCAGGCTTCCTGTAGCGGTTGTATTAACCGTCCTGGCAGAGAAGGACAGCTCAGATCGTCAGGCTGAGGTTTATTTTTCTAACCTATGTTGGAGTCCCGCTGAAGAGGGGGAGGATCATTTCCAGCGCCTGCAAGGATCAGAGCGATTCAAGCTCTGCCTTTCCTCTCTCAGCTGAATCACATTCTCTGGGAAATCCCTCAAAAGGATCTGCAGCTGTGACAAGGAAGATTAAGGGAAGAAATCCAGGAAATGCCCGCCTGAAAGTCAAAGGGGGCTTTGGAGGAGAAAGAGGGAGAGAGAAGGAGAGGAGGGGGGGGAGAGAGAGACAGTTTCCTGAAAGCTTGACAGCTTTATCCCTATGTAGAAAAAGGACTATTTTCATTTTAGGATCTCCTCCCAATTAGTTCCTATTTTAAATTATTTTTCAACAGCCAGTCAATGTGAAGACCCTCCTCGTGTGAAATCATTCTTCATGCCTTTATCTTTCTCTGTCCCTTGCCTGGCCTAGCCTTTCCAGAATTATCAGACCAGCTAAAGAGTTGCAGACCCTTCCTCTCATCCTCCCTTCCTTTCCCCATATTTGCTGCTCACGGCTCGCTCTTTCTTTCCCCCCCTCTCCTTGCCACCCCTGCCCAAAGGGTTCAAAGGCGAGCGGGATCACTGGCGCAGTGGGCGGACGATATGCATCAAAACCCACGAGAGCGGGCAGAAGGAGATCGAAGCCTTCGACTCGGCCATCCTCCTGGTCCGCAACCCCTACAAAGCGCTGATGGCGGAGTTCAACCGGAAGTACGGGGGCCACATTGGCTTTGCTTCTCAGGCCCACTGGAAGGGGAAGGGTAGGTCTGGCCATCCGCCCAGCTGGGGTGGGTGGTCTTCCACATTGCAGTCTCCTGCAGCTCCCCCACGTTCCTTGAACTTCAAGGCTGAGAAGCTGAGATGCCAGGACAGCGATTCTGGACAAGCTAGGTTGAGTGCAGGTTTTAGAGAAGCCACAACGGACCAGGATAAGCCTCAACCTAGACTGATATGGCCTATGCTGCTTCTCCCCACCTGTGTGCTCTGAGTGAGGGTCACGTCTCAGAGAAGAAGGGGTGGATGGCCATCCTTTCAGTCTCCATGGACGCTTGACCTCCAACTTTCTACCTTCATAGTTCTTATTAGTCAGCTGTGTAGAACTGAAAGAAAGCTGATCTTTAAAAAGTACAATCTGTGTTTTGCTCCATGGCATTAATTCTAAGATGGCCTTAGGAAAAGTTCCACAGCAAAGTTTTAGGATAGAATTTTACAGGGTGAGCCGCCCGGTTTGTGTTTAATGAAGCTATTTAAAGCTTTTGTCTCTGGTCGTGGGGAGGATAAAAGTTCAGGCAGACCCTGAAGATCCCAAGGAAGGTTTAGCAAATAAACTGTTTTCTTCCTTCACTCAGAATGGCCAGAGTTTGTCAAGAATTATGCTCCGTGGTGGGTGACGCACACCCTCGACTGGCTGAAGTTTGGCAAGGAGGTCGTGGTGGTTCATTTTGAGGACCTCAAGAAAGATCTCTTTGTCCAGCTCAAGAGGATGGTCAGCCTGCTGGGGGCCGCAGTTCACGAAGACCGCTTGTTGTGCGTCGAGGGACAGAAGGACGGAAACTTCAAGCGGTCAGGGCTGAGGAAGCTGGAGTATGACCCCTACACTCCAGAGATGAAGAAAATGATCAACGGCTACATCAAAACGGTGGACATGGCTCTGAAACTCAGGAACCTGACAGGTGTCCCAAAGGACTATTATCCCAGATGATGGGCAATGGCTGGGGCAGAGGAACTGATCTCCTTAGGAGGTGCCAACTGGCTTCTTGCTGGCCAGGAACCATTTCCACCCAGTGGGTGGTGTGGGAGGACTCACCCTGCCGGTGCTTGCTTTTAAAGAACCCTTCTGCATGAGCAAAGATGGCGATTGTCATGATTGACTGAAGATGTTTTGGCCAGCCTGTCTCCAGAAAGTGAGGTCCATGGGTGGGAGGTTTTGCTGCTGCTGTTGCTGCTTCTGCTGCTGCTTTTTTTCTAGGGGTTTTGTGTTCCTTCCTGCCCAAGTAAGACCACTCTGCTCTTCCTTAGCTGGTTGCCTTCTTGAACCCAGTTTGAAATAAGTAATTTAGTTAAAATCTCACAATGTGGTTGCCTTCCTTGGTTCTGCTGACCCCAGAAGAATGCTCTGTTGTTGAATCCTGGACTTTTAGACCTGATTTACTGTCAAAGGCTGGTCAGGATGGATTAACTGACCAGTGCTGAGCTTTGTGCTAGCAATATAATTTCTGCATCTTCTTTCGTGGGGCAACCTCAAAGCCGCTGGACTCCATCTGAACGATCCTCAGGTCAAATGCTGCCCATTAAACCAACATTTTGTTAATATCTCTACGGCTGTAGCTGTGGTCTTTTGTGCAGTTCAGTGTCTGTGTTTGGGAGGGTGGCACTATTTTGGATATGAGTTGGTATATCATCTATTATCTGTCTGTCTGTCTATCTATCTATCTATCTATCTATCTATCTATCTATATCTCTATCATCTATCATCTATCTACTTTCTTCTTCTTTCATTCTCTTTTGTATGCATAAAGGCAAAGGCAGGTTGGGGGAAAAAATCCATTAGGTTGTTTTTCAATTACCTAATGAGAAACAGTTTTGTTCTGTGACCGCCAAATGCTGAGAAGGAGCAAGGGATTGCAAGGGATGAGAAGAAGCTTGGAGAACGTGAATAGCAGCCTTGTGAGAAAGCAGAACTGCCTGGCCAAAGTCCAGAAACAACTGGGCTGCCCGTTGCGACATATCTCTGCAGCTTCTACTGGTTTGTGGGGTGTCATTTTGCATTTCCAAACAGAACATTCCTCTTTTACATTGTGCTGATGCTTCTCCTGTGGCCAAGAATCTGCTTGCAAAGCCAGGCTCCCCTGCTCACTGGGAGCCACCCAGCAGGAGATGGATGAGTGCCGTGGCCTTGGGGAAGGGCCAGAGCTGAGTAGAACGTGACGGGCGGCTTCAGTCCAGCAGCAGCTGGAACATCACCAGGGCTAGATGTGGGTTTTCAGGACTGTGGGTGTGGGAAGGAGGGGCTGGAATGCTCCCTACCAGAAGGGGTCTGTGCCCTCCCCTCCCTCCTTTCCTGCACAGCTCCTCCCTTGCTCTCTTCCCGCTGACCATGGTGCTGAATACGAAATGAGCAGCTCCCACTTGGTGTCTCCACAGGTGCTCCCACCGCTAGGTCTTCAGCTAAGCCCCTGGAGATGTCAATGGCATCTTGCTCAGATCATTTTGAGGAGGGGTTGATGGTGATGGGCTGCAGATCTCTTCTGCCTGGGGGGGGGCCTCTCCTTCCAGGCCAAGGTCTGGGACATTCTTGCACTGCCCTTTCCTTGTGTTGATGCAGTCGTTAATGGAGAAAAAGGGAGTTCATAATCACAATGTCTTTGGAAATTGGGGAATACAAGCAAGTCCATGCAATTCCAGGTCCTTAAGAGGCCATGCACACATGCTTTGATGCCCATGGTAGGCACAGAAATAGGAAAATCAGCTGACCAAAGGCCGTTTGGGGGATGAGATGTTAAAGGAAGGAAGAGGAGGAGGAGGAGAAAGGAAGGGAGGGAGGGAGGGAGGGAGAAGGAAGGAATGAAGGAAGGAAAAAAAATTTGTCTCCAATATTGTAGTTACGAGAGTCCAGAATCACTAACAAATAACTGCAGCCTTCAAGTTAAGATTTTCCAGTGTGCATCTTAAATTTGATTCCTGGTTTCATCCTAATTGTGCTCTCACATCATAGTTAACCAGGTCATGCCAAGACTGAGCAAATACATTCCCACAAAAGGCTAAGATGCCTGAGCGTTCATTGTGATTCGGATTTGCCATCCCCATGTTGTGTACACGTAGCTCATTTGGCTAGAGTCTGTGACTCAGGATATGGTGCAAATCCCCCCAAACTGATTAATTCAGAAGTGCTGGATGCCAGTTTCACAATCGGAGGGACTTATCACTGGATTACAGCAGATCAGGAAACTTCAGACAGGCAGATAAGAGAGCTAGGAAAACGGATCTTCCATCTATCTGCCTGTTTCTCTTTTCTCAGCCCTTTGGTGTTGTTTTCCTGCTGCCTTGCAGAGCAACGCAAAACACTCGAGAAATGCCCTAGAATGGGAAGACTGCCCATTATGCAAAATCCAGCTACTTTTGCAGATTAGGAGAAATCATCCCATTTCCCACTGCCGTAGAAGTTGTGTGGAGGGAGACCACCCCCCCCCAACAAATTGTTGCCAGGGCAGGAAAGAAGAGGGCTGTTTATTCCAGAGAATTGTACCCCGCTCCTTGACCCATCAAAATATGGATGCGGCTCTTGCTTTAATCTCTAAAAACTTCCTTAGGATTTTGCTTTGCTTTGCATCCCACTGGCTTATTAATTTTTGAGATGCCCCCTCCCCAGGAGGCAAAGACAACCGCTGGTTGGTTACCTAGTGGTTGCTATAGCAACCCTGCCTTCACATTCCAACCCAGGCTGGTTCTCCCTGTAAAATTTGAAAATATTTTAGACGGGTGGCTGTTTCAGCAGATGGAGAGAAATGATACAGAATGGAAACAGGTGAGTGTGTGGCCTGAAAAATGAAGAGACTTTCCTTTTTGCTCAGGTAAAAATGGTCACACACCTCCAGTGAACGGAAAGCCCTTTTGATCTCCTCCAGGGTAGAGACCAAGACTGAAGGTGGACGGATGGTGCTGGTCCCAGAGGCATTCGGTTAAGGAATTCATTGGTTGCTAAGTTGGCTCCCAATGAAACATTGAGCAACTGTAGGAAGCAATCAATTTCCTAAGATACTTTGCAACGTCAAAAGGAGAGAGAGAGAGAAAACTAGGAATAAAGTCCTTTAGATTTTTCATGCCTCAATGGCAGACTGAAAGATCCTGTTTCCAATCCTTCAGAAGACAGCATTAAAACATGGTTTTTATAAACATTTACAATGGAGCTCTGCAGAGTATAAGACTATTGAGTATTTACATCTGCACTTGGAAAACAGCTGCCTTAATTGGGGAAGCACAATCCATATGGAAACCAATTTGCTAGGACTACCTGTTCACAGACAGAGTACAGACTCTCGATGAAATGAAGCACCCCACGCTATGCCTCTTCTGGGGAAGATGGAGACAGAATACTAAGCAAATTCCTCCAGTGGGGAAGTAAGGCCGTTGCAATTAGCAGAAGCAGAAAAATAGGGATGCTTTTCCTTGCTGAAGATCACAAATGTCAGTTTTAATTTAGATGATTTGGGGAGAGGGCAGTTATCAATATAATCCAGAAAGTTTTCCAATCGTATAAAAGCAATAAAATGCATAGGAAGAGGAGAGCCTAAGTCTTCCATGCCGTGACATTCATCCCTCCACAAAAGAAACATGTTTATTTATCACTTCTACATTTTTTTCCATAAAATTTATGGTCAACCATCTGCCAGAGCACGGGAACTGGGCTTGAAATGGGGATCCGTCCAAGCAACGTGGCACCCCGAGAAGAAAACAAATATGTCTTCCTTTTGTCTTGCTCAGATCCATTTCTCAAACAAAAGGGGTGATTTATGGAAATAACACACCACATAGCTTTGTTTCCAAAGCCTGACAGCTAACTGGGAGGGGGGAGAACCACACGCCACCCTGTGATTATGGAAAGCAAGGCAAGGCTAGACTCAAATGTTATGGGTGTCACTGAGAGGAGTCTCTTCCAATGTTTACACAAAAATGCGATTGGAACCCACCCAGATGTCTGAAAGGATACAGAGAAGGAGTGTAATTGTGCAACAAGGCTTCACCAACTCCCATCAGCTCCTGAACACGGAAAGGGAGAGAGGCAGGCAAGGGGAACGAATGGTCTGAGTGATTCCAAGAAGACGATCAGGAAGGAAATGGAATACGAACGTCTGCTATTGGATTCCTGTAACAAGCGTGAAACCGGAAAACTATTCACAAAGGAGAGTTCTTTTCCTTCCTTCCTTCCTTCCTTCCTTCCTTCCTTCCTTCCTTCCTTCCTTCCTTCCTTCCTTTCTTTCTTTCTTTCTTTTCGTTCCTCTGCTCCCTCCCTCCCTCCCTTCCCTCCCTCCTGCCCTTGCTCTCTCTCTCTCCATCCTTCCCTCCCTCCCTTCCTCCCTTCCTTCCTCCCTCCCTTCCTTCCCAGTTCTCTTTCTATTTTTCCTTCCTTCAGTTCATTTATTCCCTTGCAATTGGCTGACAATTTCTCCCTCTGTAGTCGTGTCGGCCGGCTGCGTTCCCCCTCTGATACAATCAAGCAAATACACAGTTATGCTTATTTCAGAGAGAATTATTAATGACAGACAAGATCGCAATCTGGTTTTGGAGCAATTTACATCTTTCTCAGCCTCAGGTGCTCCGAGGACAACATTCCCATCTCAGCTTGGTGGCATTTTAAGAGCCGCTCTTCAGCAGCCTCCTCTGCTTGGCGCCACAAGAAAAAGTGGCCCAGTTCCACAAAAAGCAGGGCAGAAACGGATCCTGGGATCATTCCACTTAGGGTTAGGGTTAGGATCACCATGAACTCATAGAGCAAAATGGACATCGCCAACAAACTCAGAGTGCTTGGGTATGGTTAGGAGGGCACTGACCTTTCTAGCCTGCCCTATCTATGTTTCCTGGTAAAATACATGGGAAAATCCCATTGGAGGAAAATTCCACTTAGGTTAGGGTTAGTCAACATGACTCATATAGCAAAAATGGACATCGCCAGCAAACTCAGAGTGCTTGGGTATGGTTAGGAGGGCACTGACCGTTCTAGCCTGCCTATCTATGTTTCCTGGTAAAATACATGGGAAAATCCCATAGGAGGAAAATTCCACTTAGGGTTAGGGTTAGGTCACCATTAACTCATAGAGCAAAATGGACATCGCCAACAAACTCGGAGTGCTTGGGTATGGTTAGGAGGGCACTGACCGTTCTAGCTTGCCCTATCTATGTTTCCTGGTAAAATACATGGGAAAATCCCATTGGAGGAAAATTCCACTTAGGGTTAGGGTTACGTCCCCATGAACTCCTAGAGCAAAATGGACATCGCCAACAAACTCAGAGTGCTTGGGTATGGTTAGGAGGGCACTGACCTTTCTAGCCTGCCTATCTATGTTTCCTGGTAAAATGCTGTTGGAGGGAGCTGGAGATAACTGTCTCTGGACGATGAGGGTGTTTATTCGGTTACCAGGGTTGGGTCTTATTTGGTGGCATCTAATTGCACCCCAAGATCACTCCTCACTTGGAAAACACTGCAGTTCAGCTTAGAAGCCCCAGAGATACATCATGGAGTGTACCCAAATCACGACAAGATCTAAGATGAGGAGAACAAACAGGCATAGCCTGAAAACTGAAACAGGTGAAAATCAGATTGTCTAGAGGACGTAAGTTATTATCAAAAGGTTCGGTCAGATGTGTTTTATATTTTTAATAAAAATAACTTTGGAGATAGCAGCACTGAATATTAGATGTGCCTTTTTTGCATACATTATAAAGTCCATCAAAGCCAGCCATAAATCACCCCTGATATCCGTTAAAATTTGATATGGAATTCCAGAAAACCCTAACAGATTCTGAACCAGACCTTCACAGATTTGAAAAGCCACCTTTGTTCTATTCACAAAAAAAAAAAAAAAAAAACCCACGTGGCCATACCAAACCAGCGTTTAGCAAAATGTGTGAATGCAGCTAGTGTGAAGGAAGAAGGTTGGTGTTTCCATCTCTAGCTTGTGAAAAGCAACAGCTGCTTCTTCCAAGATGCCTTTATTTGTATGTGAAAGAGGCTGGTGCCACATTAAACAGGCAAACAAACTGGAAGGATGGAAATCAAATATTTGCTTTCATAAAGTGTGCTTTATGTTGATAGTTTAACCCAAGGGTTGTGCACCACTCATCAGTTCTGGAAAGCTGTTTGCAGAGATTATGGTTTGCTGGAGAGGATGAGCTGGGGAAATGAACAACAGAGGCCAAAACAGGTGGACTGCTTCTACGCAGGGGGGGCTGGAAGGTGACGTAGCTTCCCTCCACGGCACCCAAGCCACAGAACATCTTACGAACATTTTGTTTTGCAGTCCTGGAGCACAACTGCCAAGTTAATCTCTCTCCCCCAGCACAGTTTCCCAGGAAAAGCCTTTTTAATGCATTTCCCTATCACAACCGCTGTACCGTCCTTCGTCCAGCCCTCCCCCCCAGACACAGAGGGGGGTTTTCTTCCGCTTAGCCATCCGGCCTCAGCTGCCACTCCAGCCATGAACGTGGGGCTCATGGGGAGGGGGCAGCTTCTGCGCTTGGCTATGCTTGGTTGGGAAAAGGGCACTCAGGCAAACAGACCGTGGGCAAAAAGCTCTGGATAGCTGGAGAGGCCGCAGCTTGCAGGGTCTCCAGGATTTCTTTTTTGGACTGCAACTGCCGCATCAGTTTGTTATATCCTGGCGCAAAACAAACAGATTAAAAACGGAACTTTTTGCAGCTGGCAAATTAAGTCTCAGGAATGGACAGAATTCACAAACCTTCTGCACTCAGGTTCTCCGTGACCTAGCTTGACTTTGGTTTCTTACTTTTTAAAATTTCTGCTGGATAATTTGAGGCTTTGTATTCTCAATAGTGTTCACAATATGAATGCTAATCTTAAATCTCTCTAATAAGTCTAGTTAGTCTTTGAACACGACCTTCCTTTCATTTCCAAAGTCTGCCAAAGCTAAACGCTTCTGATATTTGCAGCTCTCCAAAGTGGACAGAACAGTTCATTTTTTTAAAAAAAAAAAACAACTTTTTTTTAAAAAAATCTACCTAAACATGCATGCCTTTGTGGAAATATGTATGAAAATACATTATATGAGACTGGAGCCTTCGTCTTAAGACATGGTAAACAAAGTTTCATTTGGCCTCATCGAATGCTTGTCGGTCTGCCTTTTTTCTTGATCAGGAATCAAATTTTCCCTCTTTGGGTAACACTTGGATTAATTAGATGCAAATGTGCAAAACACTTTGAGGATGAAAAACGCAGAGGCATGAAGGGCTGTTGCTTCTTGGTGATGTTTTTTAGCAAACCCTCTAGAGCCAAGAAGAAGCAGAGATCATGAAAAACCCCACAATTGAGGTTCTTAGAATGGACTAATGAAGACACCAGACTTCTATGAGGTATTTATTTTGTGTGTGTGTGTGTGTGTGTGTGTGTGTGTGTGTGTGTGTGGCAACTTTAAGACTGGTAGACTTCAACTCCCAGAATTCCCCAGCCAGCACAGCAAGAATTTCAAGTCTGAATGCCTGGCCTTTATTTCTGATTATATAGAGCAAAAATCAAGTGACCTCAGGCTTACATGGGTGAAAGTGCCAGATTCAACACAGATTTCTTTTCAGGAGAAACGTGGGGTCCATCTTATTAGTAATCCCTCTCCAAATATTTCTTCACCCAAACCATCGTGCAAAAATGTGTCTCTTTATTTAATGTATGCTCCACTTTGTAACACGAATGCTACAGGATATCATTGCTTGGACCTTTTTTTTTTCATTTAAAAAAGATGGACCTTACAAAATTGCTTATTTAAAAAAACAGTACATATCTTTAAGAATATTGAATACAACACCCCCAACTTATCTTAAATACAGATATACTTGTTAGGAATGCTACATATAACAATTACTACATACTTTTTCATTTGTAGAAAACCTGACACAACAGACTAATTGAGTCTAACGAACACTTCATATTGCTATGACCTGGATTGAAGGCAATTAACTCTCATGCCAATAGTTGAATCTCCTTTTATTTATTAAATCCTCAAGATTCACCAACTGGAAAAAATTGTTGGATGTCCCTGATGGTGCTCTGAGCCCAGGAACTATTATTTTCATGCAAGAGACAGTTCCCTGATGCAGCAAATTTCCACAACTTCCTTTTTATTTTGCTAGTATTTTTGTAAACACCATTAGTTAGAAATCCTTCCTGATATATCCTTCCAGAGGTGGAGAGGTTGTTTTGTCTGACACTTTTGGGGGGAAAGGAGGATTCAGGAGAGGTCCCCATATAGTCCGTGTCTTTCCAGACATAATCAAAAGCAATTTTTTTTTAGATTTGGGATAAATAAAACCAGCTTATCAAGTTATAAACCCAGGTTTGGATTCTAGCTGAGCGTTTCAGATTTATGTCTATTCAGTGAAAAGAAAAAGAGAGGAAAATGAATTATTTCCCAAATTAACTGGGCATGAAATTGAATAGACAGGATGCACAGCCCACCTCCTAGAGTAAAGATTTATTAATGGGCTAGGAAATCTCACGGAATAGTCAACAAGAGAGAAAAAGTTGCTGGACAGAACTGTATGAAATGATTGTTCTCTGAAGCGTGATTTATAGTGTGGAAGGAAGGGGTTTCTTTGACTAGAATCAAATTCTCCACTGGGAAAATTGGGGGTTGCAGGAAATGGGTTAGAGAAACAGGCCTGGCTGTCTCTTGTCTATCTGCTCACATGGAAGGTGATAGAATGAGAAATCACACCTGGATTTTTACAGGTACATATGATTAGGAAACACACATATACACACCCATCCGTTTCAGTGTCCTGTCTAAAGAGAGCTACGGTAACTCTAAACTTCCCCATTCTCAGACCAGTGAAGGAGGTGCTCAATTTCCTCCAGAGCTCAGAATATGCTTATTGCCAAGAACTTGTAGGATGCAGTGAAGACTTTACAGGCTGAAGTTCAACCTTTGGGTCTTCCTTTGTCATGAAGTTTGTTTATGTGGTTAGGATCAGGTGTTCATGCCATAACCTTTAAAAAGCTGTGGTGGGAATAAACAAGAGTGTACCTAGAACCTCGTCACCACCATTGGCTTAGATTCACCAAGCCAATTTCAAGTTCCTCCTGAAACCACTGGACTAATCCTAGAAGACAACCTCAAGGAGTTCTGGATCATTGCTGGAAACCAATGATCTACTGTAATCCATGTTGGGTTCCAAAGTTCAGAGCAAAATAGATTCTTTTTCAGTCATCGAACTGGCTTTGGTGACGCTCTTGCGTGAAAACGAGTGGATTGAATTGATTGTGTCCTCAGTCAGGGCGTTAGCCAGTCTGGACAGGATGGTTACCTTAAACTTTTTGAAATCTTGGCCCATGAAGACGTACAGAATGGGGTTCATGCAGCTGTTAGAAGCAGCAATGGCTGTGACCAGGGGCAAGCCGATCTCAAAGACGTTTTCTGGAACTGAGCGGTGATCCGTTTCCAGGAGGTGGAGAGTATGGTACGGGCACCAACACAGGAAGAAGATGGTGATAATGGCCACAATAATTTTCAAGGGCTTCTTGGACTTGGCCAGACGGTTCTTTTTCAGCCGAAAAATTATGGTAATGTAACATGCTGTGATAACGATCATGGGTATGATAAACCCCGTCAAGAAGCGAAAGGTGGTTACCATTTTATGTCTCTGGACGCCGAGGGCGGTGTCATTTGGAGAACTGGACAACGAAAAGTTGTAAAAACAACGGATGTGGTCTTGGGTGGTTGTGGTGTCTCGAAAAACACGGGAAGGGGAGCTCATTAGAAAACCAAACACCCAAATTAGGATGCAGAACAACCAGGCGATTGTCGGGGTCCGACGCTTTTGGGATTGGACTGGGAAGACCACCAAAATGCAACGATCAATACTGATGGTGGTCAAGAGAAGCACGCTGGTGCACATGTTGAGGTTGAGAAGCAAAGTGCTGACTTTGCACATGTCTCTGCCGAAAACCCAGTGGAAGCCCATAGCAGTGTAGGTGATGTTCAGGGGCAGGAAGACATTGAACAGGAAGTCGGCAGCTGCCAGGTTGAGGAACCAGATTGTAGTGACCGATTTCTTCATCTTGAAGATAATTGCGATGACCAAGCCGTTGCCCAATAGACCCAGGAGGCAGGTGAGGCTGTAGATGAGAGCAGCCACCACTTGAACGATGGTCAGGGGGTCTATTTGGGGGGGTTTGCCATATGTGTCTCTAACAGGGTTGAAGTGCTCGAAAATATAGTAGTCAGAGTAAAAAGTAAAATTATCCAGTTCTTCCATGACCTGTTGGAACACAAATGGGTCAAAAACCTGACCTGGTGCCAAGGTGGTTCTATACCATGGTTAGGAAACACAGAAAAGTGAAGGCTGATAGGACAAGCCAGTGAGAGCTAGCCTCATCTAAGACTGCCTGTAATGGCCAAGTAACAACAAAGAACTATTGTTGCAAGTTAAAACTAATTGATATGATTGGATAGAGAAGAGTGTAGCCTAATCTCTACACAACGTCTTCTTCCTTGGATGACCCCAATCCTATCCAGTGATGCCACTTCCAATGCGTGGAGAGGAAGGAAGGGACTAAATAAGGCATTCTCCAAAATAAGTAAGTATCCTGCCTTGAAAATGTCCCAGAATCCCTTGCAAGGGGGACAAGGCAGATCATACACCTACTGGTGGAACATCGGCCCATACCGATGTTAGATCAACCTGCATGAAAGCACCAGTAGATTTCTTCTAACCAACATTTAAAAAAAGGAGAAAAATCCTTTGGCAAACTGAGCACAGTGTGTAAATAATTTAATACATAATAAATAGAAGGCTAACATGGTTTTTGTGTGAAAGAAAGGCCCTGGTGAGCTTTGAAATTTTAATGGCATCACTTGCAATACTCACAACTGTTGTCAAAGACAATACAAACAGGAGGACAATGTTACTTAACCACGGCCACTCTAAGACATGTGGACTTCAGCTCCCAGAATTTCCCAGCCAGCCATGCTGGCTGGAGAATTCTGGAAGCTGAAGTCCACATGTCTTAAAGTAGCCATGGTTAAGAGAAACTGGGTTAAATCTAATCGAAGAAAGCAATTCAAAAGCATCCAAATTTTTTGTCAGCACGGCGCTGAATGGAACCGAGTGAGAAATTTTAAGATGGATCTTAAAAGGCAAGCAAAGGATTTTCAAGCAAACAAAAACATGAACATTTCATGGCCAAATTTTACATCTGGGAGCAAGGAAACCAATGATCAGCGGGCTTCTGCCATCAGGATGAGGCCAACCCATCTGGCCTGAGAATCACAGCTCTAGGACCCAGATGAATCGTCTTTCCAAAGCTGTGGACAAGCTGTAGTAGGATTCCAGAATGGCTCCACATCCAAAGTTTCTTGGCCGTCTCAACTATCATATGATGAAGCCAAGAGAGCGGGGGTTGCAAGTCATTGTTCAGTTGGACTAGAATACAGAATGACAGAGTTGGAAGGGACCTCAGAGGTCTTCTAGTCCAACCCCCTGCTCAAGCAGGAGACCCTATCCCATTCTGGACAAATGGCTGTCCAATCTCTTCTTGGAAACCTCCAGTGATGGAGCACCCACAACTTCTGAAGACAACCCGTTCTACTGATTAATTTTTCTCACTGCCAGGAAATTTCTCCTTAGTTCTAGGCTGCTTCTCTCTCTGATAAGCTCCCATGCTGCTCTCCCTGAAAGTAGCTGCCAAGGACCCACTGCAGAATCACACACGGCCGGCCAGGTGCAGTACTATCTCCACGGGTTTCGTTTCTCCACATGACACCCCAGATCATAGACCAAGCACGCATTCTGTGAGTCAGACAGACAAAGCCAGGCATAGAAAGGTCAGGATTCAGACAGGCCCTTGACCTGAATGTTCTTACCATCAACAAGCGAGGCTCAAAGCAAGAATACGGAGAAAGAACAGCCGGGGGCGAGTTCAGCTGAGTCGGCCTTACGGGAACTTTTCCTGCCAAGGGTACAAAACAAACAGCAATGACACCCGGTGGAGTGGAGACTGTCAGCCAACGACGAGGGAAGCAATGTTCCTGTTTAATGAGCCATTCGAGGCGAGGGCTGGGTTTGGGAAGGCAGGCAGTTTTGGGAAAGAGGAAACTCTTTCAGAGAAGTTCAGCTCTTTTTTGCTTTCCCTTTGTCCTGGTGGGAGGGTGGGAGGAAGGGAGGGAGGAAGGGAGGAAGGGAGGCAGGCAGTGATTTGGGTGGCTCCGAATTGGCAGAATCGGAGCCTCTGCCACCCTGGATGAACCCAGGCGCCCCTCTGGAGTGTCCCTTCAAGCTAATGAATGACCCTCCTCTGCTTTTGACTTCTGAACTGATGTCCCCCCATGAGTGATTTCTGAGGATGGAGGAGAACATCTCAGAAGGTGGAGCAGGGCTGAGGAGAACCCGAGCTATGACTTTAGAATAAGCACCAGAGCTTCCAAGCGTGTCCTTCTTGGGCTGGTGGGACCCCTTCTTCTCCCGGTCGTGTGTGCTCAGAATGCCCAGTGGCCCATAAAGCACTGCCCAGGAGAGCCTTGGGATTAAGGAGGGTGGCTCTACTTCTGAGGGGAACATCCAAAGTCTTATTTCTCTTCTCAACTTGGGTGGGTCTCCAGCAGCCTCCTTGGACTTTGCAAAGAGATTCTGCAAAGCAACCCAAGCAACCATCTCAGCACTTTTTCTTCTCAAAACCCAGACAGGATGTCCTGATTTAGAAGCCTCCTGACTCAGGCCCTGAGCACCAACGCAGTCAGCCCCCCCACCCCCCCCAAGCGCCAAAAGCAAAAAACACAAAAAAGCCTATAGAGCCATCTTTCTCCTCTTTCCTTTCCTGTCTCTGCCCCCCCAAGGACAGGCAAGCTGCAGAGCTCTGCTGTTCCTGGCAGGCTGCAGGCCATCCCGATTGTTGCTTTCTAGGCAGGAGATAAGGATTCCCATAGAACTGCCTGTTCAGTTTTTGTGGGCTCAACACCAAGGCTATCAGGTGTTTGGAAATGCAACTGCCACAACACGCAAAGGAAAACAAAGGAAATCTCAGTCTGGGAGGGAGGTCACGAGGGAACAAGGCTACACGAACCCCAGAACAACGCCTGCCTGCTCGTCTCCCCTCTGCCTAGGATTTGGCTCACGAGTCCCTGCCTCCCCCCAAGGCAGGCCTGGCCCTGGTTTAGCCATGCAGCCACCTGCCACCTTTGCTTTTCATCCAAAACGGCCGATATCCTGGAATTCCTCCCACAGACCCCCCCAAATGTGTGCATGCCTTCCAAGTCAGGACTGCACTTGTAATAGGTCTTGAGCTGAGTGGGCAACGGATCTCTCTCCCTTCTGATGCAAACCACTGGAGGTGTTTGCAGAGCAAAAAAGTCAAGAGAATTGTGGCCCCCACAGTGCAATCTAAGCTCCATCCCTTTTCTAGGTGCACCCCAGAGTATGGATCCTAGGCCAAGTTTGGTTTATCCAAGGAGATCAACTGATTTGACCAGGGTTCCCTGGATCGGCAAGGGCAGAAGGGGCTAGATCTTCCAATTTGGTGGCTTATCAAACCATTTTGGATGCAGGAGAAATAAGCCAGGTGTGCTAAGTTTGCAAAGCATCTCCCATGCTCTCCTACCCTCCCATCCACCCACCCACCCACAAACAAACTGGGTTTCAGCCAATTTTAAATCTTAGTGTCTCTGACCCTTGGAGGGGTTTGAGAGAAGACCGTTCTCACCCTTGGTGTCTCTCCTCAGGAGGTCTTTTGCTCTGCACTCCAACTTCCTTGTTCCCCCTACTCTAACCTGCCCCAGCAGGTAATGCGGCTGTCTATCATTCTGCAAACACCCACAACCAGCATAGAGGGACTCCCTGGACCCCCACCCCACCTTGTGAAGAAACAGAGGCGGCCTTACTTTGCTGGTGAGGAAACGTCCCTTTCAGAAGATGTTTCGGCTCAAGGATGTCTTCACGACCAGAAGTCTGGATGCGAACCTGCATAAACCAGAAAATGATGCAAGGAAAAGAAGAAGATGCAGCGAGCAAAGAAAGGAAGAGAAGGTGGAGCAAGTGAGATAAGATATTATTAGCTCCCTTAAATTTCTTGACTTCCTGTGTTGCTCATTTCTGGTGCGACCTCCTCCACCTTCACCTTCTGCCATCTCATGTTCCCAGCCATGAAATGAGAGTTGGGCATCGCCTCAAGCAAAGGTGGCCACTGACTTTGAGGACCCAATGGCCAGCTCTTCCTTGAGACAATGCCCAACTCTCATTTTGAGGGCCTACAGCCGAAGAGCCAAGAACTTCAAAACATCCAATCTGCAGAAAGTTTTCCTTTGTCTGTTTGCTCAAAGAGGATTCCTACTCACTCCAGGTGACCATGGACAAGGGCTGTTGACCAGCTTCCAGACTGGAGATTCCAAAGTGCCTGAAGTTGTCCTGAAGCTGAAGTTGGGACCCTCACTTAGAAGTCTCAACCTCTTCTCCTTCAGCTTCTCTTAGCAGTCTACCTTCAAGACATGCCCTCAGCGACCACCAAGGCTCTCCATGCTTGCTGAAATACTGTCCTCCCCAAGCATTTAATCTACATTAAGACAACTATCTCTTCTGGACAGCTGGAGTTCCACCCCCAAGTAAAAGCAGAGGCCAACTGGGAAAGACCAGCATTTGAAGCCCTGGTTGGGCTCTGCCCAGAAGCCTGAAGTGCAGAAGCCGTGAAACGGAAGAGGGGACAGTCTTAAGGTGATTCCTTTAGGATCAAAGAGAAGACTTTAACTTATAATGTGATCACCAGGCTCAGGGCAAGCCTCGTTCAGGTACACCAGGCGCTCCGATCAGAGTGAAACGGTTTTCAGTGCTGCCCTCTGAGAGATTTTCAGGTCCTCCAGCAATGCTGCCTTGGCACTTGTTGAGTCCGGATGCCAGCTGGAAAGAGGCAGGGAGACCAAATGTTGTTTCACGCTCAGTCCTAGATAAACAGCCACCCAGGCGTGGCTTTGCACAGCCAGGGACACAGAGGGGGAGACGTTTTCCCAGGCTCTCTGTTGCTTTGATCTAAGAATGCTCCCATGCTTATCTCTAGTTCTGGCTGCGTTGCACACAGACTTAACCCCTGCCCTCTCTTTGACAATTCTGGGTTTAGCTGCTTCCCCAGCAACAAGGGAAGAAGAAAGCGTTGCCTGGGGAAATCTAACAGGACATCAAGCTGGGACCATGGAAATCATGGTGCCCTCAGCTGTCCTAAGAAAATTCATTATCTCAGGCTTCATTGGGGCAAGGGATCCTTGGGCATCCTGTGAAAGACATCCAAAGAGCCTGGAAGCTGGATCAGGGCAAGGGCACAGCTGAGCTGGCAGGTTGTCTGAAGCCTCCTGAGATGAAGAGGAGGCCAGTGCTGCAGTTGAGGAAACATCTTCAATTCCAGAGGGATCAAAGGTTGTGTTAGATCAGCAGTCACTGATACTGCCACATCCCGCCCTATTTTAAAAAACATCCACCTTGTGCTTGTGCATTGATTTATATGTTTGTTTATTTACTGAGAGGTTCAGGTTGAAGGACAGAAGATGCTATCCTCCAAGCTGCATCCTTGGGTCCCTGAAGCCACCAAGAGACCCAGGACACTTGGTTGGAGATTGCAACCCTGGAGCTGAAGCAGAAACTGGTGGGCCCACCCAGCAGCTGTCCGTGAAGGTCGCCAAGAAATGCAGAACTAACCAGACAATCTGTTGAGAAGCTGCTCCCAACTCGTCCTGTGTGGTTTCTTTCCAGACCTCTGTTCCAAATAAAGGATTGTGGATCTTTTATTGCAACTGTTTGCTAGACGTGTTTTGAGCTGCCCTTGACCAGGAAGGACTTGGCCTTCTCACAGACACAGTTTCCTGGGGCTGCAAGTTGGACCTGGGAGTCACAGTTTATAAAGGTCTTTCTTTGGTGGGCTTAATTTGCCTGGCATTCTGTGGGTGGCAGGAAAGAAACGGGTTTTGCACACGGATGTGAGCTCAAGATCCAGCAGTCATTCTAAGAAAACCATGATGGGAACCAGCTCATAATGGGGCCGGATGAACAGAGTGTGAATTTTTCCATCCCCACAACTAGTTGACCACAAAATGTCTCAGCACCCACTTCCTTTTTTCAGTCTTCTCCTTTGGCCAATTGGGCACCACATGCTGAGTCAGCAAACTGTTGTGAGATTTTGGCACGTTATTGTGACAATGCTTGAGCGACAGATATCCCCATTTCTGTTCAGAGGGGTCTCCAAGTGGAGAAAATAATGCATAAATTGTTGATTTTTAAAAAGTAAAAAGGCTATTAAGTAGCTCACATAGATAAATCCTTGTAGGAAGAGGCCTCTGGATGGACCCAATTCACAAAGGAGCACCTTGCCTGCATGGGAAAAGAGAGGAGGCCTTGGGCTGTGTGTGCAAGAAGGTCATTATTCAGAGGGCAAATGCTGCAGACCATAATATTCAAAATATTGGTCTTGATTTGATCCAATGAGCTTGCATATCTCAGTCCCAGACCAAGGGGTATTCTCATAGGACATAAAACCAGTCAAAGCTTAAATATGACCACGATGGTTATCATCCTGGACTTTTGGACTGCAGAAACCCTGGATGGTTTGGCTTCATTTGGTGTCTTCTCTGATTTTCCAGAGCTAGGAAGACACCAAAAGGCATCTTTTCCAGGGTATACAGTCACACATTCCTCTCCTCTCCTCTCCCCTCCCCTCCCCTCCCCTCTCCTCTCCTCTCTTCTTCTCTTCTCTTCTCCTCCCCTCCCCTCCCCTCCTCTCCACAAGGTTTGGTCAGCTTCAAAGGCTCTCCCAAATCTTCCAGAGCAGTTTGGATGGGACATCAGAAGCCCAAGGAGCCACCAGAACTTCCTTGGTGTTTCAACCTCCTGGAGAAGACCCCAGCCTTTTCTCTGGCAGGTCTGCCTGGCAATTTTTTTCAAAAAGGAACAGCTGGAGATGAGTGATGCATTTTTGACTTTTCCGGTTTTGCCCTTCATGTTTTGTCTAACTCCCCCAATGTCTTTGGGCTGAAATCTGAGGACAGCCTGTTCATGTTCACTCTGGAAAATTTTATTTCGGTCGTGCCAAAGCCATGATGAAAACTCACCCCAAGGAACCTGTAAGAGGAGACTAGGAGCAGATGTCCATTTAATGACATCAGCGGAGAGAACAAAAAACAGTCTCTCAGCCAGTTTGAACAAATCTCAGCACTTCCTTTTGCTTAATCCATTGCAAAAATAATAATAAAAAGGATCACTTCTGCAGAGGAAATTCCCCACAACTCTTCTCTTTTTCATTGTGCTGACCATCCATATTGAGCTGGGAAGGGTATGAGGCAATCCAGAGAGCTGGTTATAAAACCATTGAGTGTCATCTGAAAAGCACCCAGATCCCAGATCAATATTTCTCTGATGGGTCCTCACTGGCTGTACTGCTCATTGTCCTAAATTCTTATAAGGCTGGGCTGGGTTGGGGTCCGGTCCATTGTGGCTAACCTAGCACTGTGGATTGAGGACTGGTTTTGTGGCTCTGTAGTGACTTTTTTAACACGTCATGGTTAAGGAGTGATTTGAGCAATGTGTGAACTTAATCACCACTCCACTCTTGACCTTCCTTCCTCCCTTATCTTCTCCAGATAAATTCCTGAAAGGCTCACATCACGACCTGCAAAAATTGTCATTACAAAGTGTTGCATTAACAGTGATGTGATTGTCTCAAACGGAGTGCTTGATAACATGTGATTGTTTGCAATCTTTTTCATGTGCTACAAATTCCTGAAGCCAAGATGAAAAGGAAAAAAAAATACCCTGTTTGAGGTCCACTTTGCTGCAGGATTATTTTCTCATTGACTGTTTGGCCGGAGTTGAGCAAAGAAACTTCTGATTTTGCAAAAGGAGCCCCCAAATCATCAGGCTTCCTAAGAAAACTAAAGTGAACTATTTTCCACTAGTTATTTCATCTTTATAGCATGGTACTATAACAAACTAGCTTGTTTGGAAACTTAAGCAGAGCCTCTTGCTGTTACTTTGAGATGGGTTTTTCTGTTCACAAAGCATACTTAATAGGGTCAAGAGAGGATTATCCCATGTCCTAAGAACAGGACTAAGAACGTTAATGCAGCGTCAAAGCCGTCTTTTTGTTCCTGAAAGAGACACAAGGCAGAACACAAACAAGCTTCGCTCTTCCTTTTTGCTTTTAACCTCCTTACAGAAACATGAGAGGTAGAAAATGGACAGGAATTCCCCCCAGTTCCATCTATACATCTTTCCAGACCCGATTAAGACACTATAGGTAGCCTAACATCAACATCTGTTTGACCAGAAATTTGAATAGGATGTGAAGCCAATTGGGAATTCTTGGAGGAGTTAAGCAGGGCCACCACCGTGGCTGACCAGGACACCTGTCTTGGCAAAAGAGAGTTAATTTCCTCCACTGACTTGGTCAGCTAAGAGATTTGAACAAAATCACCGAACTGGCAAAGGGCAGATTATAAAACAAGGTGTTAATCAAGCAGTGTCCCTCAAGGTCACAATACCTCAAGGTTATTTGCCCTTGACTGGACCCAAATCCTCCCATTCTGGAAGAGGCGGGCAGCCGCATCCTCCAAGGAGTTTTGTCATGGCCACCACATCTGATGGAGATTCCCAGCTATGGGGGGGGGGAGAGAGGGGGGCTTCCATTTACATGTACTGTACTTAAATAGTAAAGGCTTGACTGATTGCTTTAATTGGACTCTGGGCTCTCTCCCCTGCTGTGCTGCTCTTGGGCCAGGAGGCAGGCAGGAGTCTGGTGGTCCGTTCAAGCTGAAGGTTGCACCCAAAATACCCCAGTGGTGGCTTTTCAGGGTTTCCATCCCTTTCACAGAAGTCCCGCCCAACTGTTTCACAACCACCCTGAACTTTCAAAGAGGAGAAAAACGTGCTTACAAGGCTGCTGCCTCAGGGTCCTATTCTGAGAAAGGGGAAGAAGGGGAACCAGAGCTTCAGGTTAAGGGTCGAGAGGCTCAGAGATCGTCTACTTGAGGCCAGGCAGCTGTCTGCAACCCGGGACGTTCTCCTCCCGAGCGCCGCTCTCCTCTGCCAGATATAACAGCACATCTTCGAAGATGATGAAGAGTTTTGCTGCTCTCTTAAGGATGCTCAACTAGGAGGCCAAGCAGGCTGAGCCTTTTCAGCCTTGCAATAACAGGCCACCCACGTCTTGTCTCGCAGTTCAGGTTCTGCAAGACTGGTCAAAGTCTAGATATAAAAGATGACCAATGCAAAATAGGTGGGTTTTTTGTTTCCCCCGAGAGGAGAAAATACCTTTGGATCCGCCGAGTCGCCTTCCTGCCTCTTCTGCTTCCCAGAAAGCCCCTTTCATTCCCTTAAGGAGGAGGAACAGCGCCGAATAGCTCCAGCTGCCTGTGTCACATTCAGTCTGGGTGATGCTTTCACGCCACAAACTCAGCAAGGGACATCATCCCCCTCCATTGGAAGGGGCACCCTTGACGGAGGGGGAAAAGCACCCGATCTCCTGGAAACACTGATGGCCCACGAGGGGGGCGGGTCCTTCCAGAGACAAGCAACCCTCAAAGCATCTACACGGCAGCGATGTGAAAAGGGGCGAGGAATAGAAGCCGAAGAAGCAAACAAGCAAGTTCACTACATTTCGGCAGGAATTTCTTCACTCAACTCCACAGCTGGAAGAGAGGGTGTGACCGTCTCCTCCTCCTCCACTGCCGCCAGCCAAGGCTGAATGGCTGAGCAGCGCTTGCTTCATTGCAGGCCCTTCTCTGCCAGATATTTTTTTTTATTATTCAAAAAATGACACAAAAAATTACGCCCAAGGCTGCGCTGGGGAATCACAGCGCCTTTGAAGATGGGGAGTTGGGTTTGGGAGTGGGGGGACTGGTTTCATCTGAGAAGGTTTCAGAGCAGTTGGAGATTCTCCTCTTTCATCAGAAGCAGGAAGAGGGTGGCTGGGAAGAGAGTTTTAGAGGAAGGGTGCCCTGGTCAAGACAGGTGCGTTCTCTGTCTACGGGTGGAGAAATAAAGCTAGGCCAACTTGAAGCCAAGCTCCATTTTCAGAACTAAGCAACCCAGGTTTACAGCTCCTGGTCCCCCATCGCCCTTCCTCATGCAAAGATCTTTGCCCCAGAGAGCACACAAGCAAGGTGGAGAAAATTCACTCCAAGCAATCGGAGAAGCTTGAGGACAAAGGCAGGATCAAGAAGCTGGGTCCAAGTTTCTCCATTGCTCCTCGTCGTTTCCCCTTAAAATGTGCTGACCAGCCTCAAAAACTTCCTTGAGCTTGACTCTCACAGCAAAACCTCTGCCAGATCCACTTGAACACGAGAGTCATGTTCCCAAGAGCCCATCCCTTGCTGAAAGCCCTTCATGTAGGTTGGTAGTGCATTTTGATGAGCAAGACAAGCAGGCATCTCTGGGGCCTACAAAATAATTACAAGTATCAAGCGCAGCCCTTGGAGCCCAGCTCAAAGTGAACGGTGTTTCTGTGCCTGCGCAAAATTGCATGCCACAAACACAGAGGGTTTTATCCATCTCTGGGTGCTCTGACACTGGAGTCTTTAAGAAAAGATTGAACCACCATTTGTCTGACATGATATAGGATTTCCTGCTTCAGCAGGGGATTGGACTAGAAGACCTCCAAGGTCCCTTCCCAACTCTGTCATCCTGTTATTCTTCAAAACAATAGCCCAAGCAATCTTCCCTGCACACTTGGCCTCCAGATGTTTGGGCTTGGGCTGCCTTCATCCCCAGCTAGTCTAGCCAAGGCTGCAGTTTAGGAATAGGGCCAATTACTACAACATGGTTCAAGATTAGAAATCAAGGTCTAGGCATCCTTCTCAGGGGAATTCAAGAGTTTCTCCTATCTGGGCGGTCTCTAAAGTCCTCGTGCTCCTATTCCAGAAGGTTCATGGGGGTTAAAAACTTTCTAACTGGAGGTGAGGTTCTCTTCTCCAGCTCCTGCTTTCCTTTGCAAATGCTCCACCCATGGACAGCTGGAGAGACCAGCAGCTTTTCCGTGCAAAACGCTTTTTGCACAATGTTCTCGCCCACGCACCTCAAGGCCGGCACATCTCTTCTCTCCGAGATTTCACAATTGGGTTCTCCTTCGTGAGTTGCTCTGGAACTTCACCAGGTGGCCTGCAGCCCTGGTGT